GGGGGGGGGGGTGGAGAGAGAAGGAGAGAGGGGAGAGAGAAATAGAGAGAGAGATGGAGGGAAAGGACAGAGGAGGGAGGGAGAGAGACAGAGAAAGAGAGGGAAGGGGGAGAGGGAGAGAGAGAAAGGAGAAAAGAGAGAGAGGAAGGGAGGAGGGAAGGAAGGGACGGAGGGAGGGAGGGAGAGATAGGATAGAGGAGGGAGAGTGAAGGAGAGAGAGAAGAAGAGAGGAGAGAGAGAAAGAGAGGAGAGGGAGAAATAGAGAGAGAGAAGGAGGGAGGGAGAGAGAAGGAGGGAGGGAGAGAGAAGGAGGGAAAGGACAGAGGAAGGAGGGAGAGAGAGAAGAGGGCAAAAGAGAGGGAAGGAGAGAATGGGAGAGAGAGAGAGGAGGGGGACAGAGAGAGAAGGAGGGAGGAGGGAGAGGAGAGAAAGGAGAAAAAAGAGGGAAAGAAAGAGAGAAGGAGGGAGGGAGAGAGGAGGAGGGAGAAAGAGAGAGAAAGAGGGAAGGAGAAAGAGAAGAGAGGGAAAGAGAGAGAGAAGAGAAAGGAATTTCGGGGTTGACCCCTGACCGGGAGGAAGTGTCCCGCACTCTGGGGCCTTCATTGCTCTCGCCCAGGGGTCCAAGGGATGCTTCCTCTCCCTTGAGAGGCTGCAGAAGCTTCCCCAGGTAGGAAAAACGGAGGAGACGGCTGGCCGAGAAGCTGGCAAGGGCCATCCTACAGCAGGGGTGTGTGTGGAGGGGTTGGCGAACAGTTTCGAGACAGTCTTCCACTCTCTCACACACTGACAGGACACTAGACAGATGAATATTGATGGATGCGGGTAGGCAGAGGCACAATTTTCCCCCCCTCATTTTCCTCCCCCCAAATTAAGCCCCACCGCATAAGTTTCGTAGCAAAGCACGTGTATCCCGCTAGTATTTTATGAAAGTGTTTGCAGGTGGGAAAAATCTGATTTCCTCTCTGTATTTTTTTTTCTACCTCCCTTTGGTCTTTTTTCAAGCACTTTCTGAATTCTGGTCATTGGGGGTTTCTGGCTCTGCGGCCTGGTTTACCCAAATGCGTGGAGCTTCCATGTACAGGGACTGTCTACACAGGCAACAAAGTGTTCAAAGGGTTTTTTTTCTCCCGTGAAGCAAGAAACACCCTAGATGGCTGATAGCAGTGGGTGACTTATGGCAGGTTTACTTTTTAAATTGGGTTTTAATCTTTCGTCCACAAAGGTGTGTCGAAAGGGTGGACGTATTTATTCTTCCAGGCTCATTAGCGTTCGATCCCCTTGATCCCAATTTTTAGAAACCTTGCACGCATCCTCTAGAAGAAACCAAACTAAATCTTAGAAGGGCAAATCCTCAGTTTTGAAGGGGAATCCCCTAGATCTGCAGAAGCACAAAAAATAATAATATTTAGGTGTACAGATATAAGGAAAAAATCCAAAATGAAAACAGGGTTTGGGGGTTTTTTTGGGGGGGGGGGGCTCAGAATGGAGAATTTATTCCTTGGCAGGAGGTGATGGGGGACAGAAAATTCAAATTTACAACAGGTGGTAGCTGGAATCCTAAAACAGCAGCATCTCACCCAGCAAAAGCAAATAAATTCGCCTCCGGATCTTTTATCCGCTTTAATTCTAGGTTGCAAATGCCCGAGTAACCTGCAGAAATAATGTAAGGTCTGCTCGGGGCAGGGGGGGTTGGACCAGATGACCTACTACAAGGTCTCTTCCAACTCTGTGAATCTGTATCTGCATTTTTCTCCCATCCATGTGGCAACCATCCAGCAATTTCTTCTTCCACCACAGGGAGGGGTGGAAAATGTTGTTTTCACCTCAAAAAGAAGAGATCCTTTTTTTGTGTGTGTGCGAAGGATGAAAATCCAGTTTGACTTGAAGTAATTAAAACTCTTCCTCCATCATTTGGAAATCCATTAGAGGATTAGAGGAAGGGAGGGCCGGGAGGGGGGAAATTAATTACAAATCCTATTTGGCAGCCCAAGGCTGCTCATTTCAGAATCCCAGGGATGGATTTTCCTTAAGATTAATTTGCTGCTGTTCTTTTTTTTTTTTTTTTGAAAGGAGAAACCTTGAAGATTAATGAATCATTGTGCAGTTCTGTGCATTTTTCAGGAAAGGCAGCTGTCTCTAGGATTGCAAACTTAATGGATATGCGTTGTTGGCTTCCCTTACATACCAGCATCTAGTAAATTCCCTTAGGCTCTCTGGATAATGGTGTAGCCTTGGTTTCATTTCAGTTTGACTTTCTATGAATTTATCAAAGCATAAAATACAAGCGTGTGAAGAAAAATGAACTGCCTCACAGTTCATTAGGAACTCAAAGCTAAGCTGGCCAACTAGACTTTGTGTTGGGTTGTGTAAATACTGCAACGTGTGGAGCTTTTTGTTCAGGAAGCAAATCATCAGGTGTGTAAGCTGGCATTTCTTTTCCATATCTTCTGAGCTACTGGATATAAAAAAAAAGAACAAATAACCATGCAGCTTGGAACAGAAAGTTCTGCTGGGAATTGTAGTTCTGCTATATCTGGTGGAGTCCATAGGACTTATTTTTTGGGCTTCTCCAAGGATATTTGCAATATGTTTGTGGGCTTGTGCTGTTGATGTGTAAGGGTTGGAC